ACTGCCTCTCAGTGGAAAAGGCACAGGGACTGAAATGCAGCTGGTGGCCCCGTGGCTGACAACACTGAGCACCTGGCAGGACAGGGGAGGGCCACCAACACTTCCTGACCCTCCGTCCCCCTCCGGGCCCCCAGTCTTGCGGGGCATGCTTTGGGGGCCTAGACTCTGGGGTGAACTTAAACAGGTCAAGTACCAGCTCAAAGCAGAGGATGAGAACAGACTTGGAGCCAGTTAACCTCGGGGCGCTGGGATCTGGTTGGTGCGTGTGTGCCCCAGGCACCTGAGAGTGAGCAGAGAGGTGAGAGAGCTGGGTCAGTGGTGTCTCTTCCTCCTGGGCCAGGAAGCCTACCTGGACTGGGAGGCCACGAACTGCCCCTCCTGGAGAAATGTGCTTCAGGATTCCCCCTACTCAAAAGGCTGCCTGTTAGAACCAGCTTGGGGAGCTTTTTAAAAATACCCTTGCTCCGACCAGTTAGATCGGCTTGGCTGAGGGTAGGTCCCAAGTGAGTATTTCCTTCCTTCTTTTTGGCCTTGGGAGATTTTGCACCTCCTTCCAGGGAGGGAAGCTTGACTTCTGAAATGACTCTCCTGAAGGAAAAGTACCTAGCTCTCTAGGCAGCCCCCCACCCCACAAGGGCGAGGCACACCATGGACACTCAAGAGGTTTCTGCTCTGCTTGGTTCCCCTGTTGGTTCAGCCCATTTCCTTCATGACTTGGACACAGCATTCTTGCTCTTGTAAGACGCAGGTCAATTAGATCTCAAAGTCTTGGAAATGAGCTGAGTTTCAGCAGGTATTGGACTGAGTTGAGTCAACCCTTGAATAACTTTGGGGTTAGGGGTGCTGACCCCCTGTCCAGTTGAAAATCCACATATAACTTCTGACTCCCCCAAAACTTAACTACTAATAAGCCTGTGGTTGACCAGCAGCCTTACCGATAAACAGTCTCTTAACACCCATTTGGTATGTGACATATATTATACACTCTGTATTCTTACAAAAAAGTAAGCTAGAGAAAAGAAAATGTCGTTTAAAAGACTGTAAGGAAGAGAAAATACATTCACAGTGCTATACTGAATCCCCCCCAAATCTGCATATAAGGGGGCCCATGCAGACAGGTTAAGCAACTCAGCCTCAAGGTCACCAGCTAATAAGTGGAGAGCTGGGCTTGTAGACCAATCTGGCCGCAGAGTCTGCCGCTCTCAACCCGAGAAAAGACAGTCATGAGCTAATGAGTTGGGACTTTTTCCCTTTGCCAAACTTAGATTCACAAAGTAGACTCCAGCATTTCTTCCTCTCTTGCATTCCCTTCCACCAAGTTTACACCCGGGGAGAGGGAAAGGGGTCTTCCTAAGGTCACAAAGTGATTGGGTGCAGAGCTAGGAGCAAAATGCTGCCCCTTGACTCCCTCCTGGTCTCACAGCAGATTGCTTGCATCCAGCTAAACGTCCCCTCAGAAATCCGTTTGGAAAGTGTGGTGGTTTTAAGAAATGTCCACACAAGTTCTTGGATATTCCTCCCTTCAAGAGATGGAGCCTCCTTTGCCTCCCCTCCTGTGTGGGCTGGACTTAGAGTCTCACTTCTACCGAATATAATAAAGCAGAAGCGTTGGGAGATTAGGTTATAAAAGGCACGGCCACATCCTCCTCTCTCTTTCTCTCTCTCTCTGATTGATTGTTCTGGGGAAGTCAGCTGCCATGTGTGATGTTGAAAAATTTACTTAACTTCTCTGTGCCTCAGGATTTCACATCCATGAAATGGGGGGAATATTACCTCCTAGGACTGTTGTGAGAATTGAATGAATCAATTTATGTGTCTGGCACATAGTAAGTGATCTTTAGCAAGGATGCTGGGCACAGTTGTACAAACTGTTCACTGTTGAAGAGCCCCAGCCTTAGAAGTCAAATAGGGCCTTGCCAGTCCGTGTCCTTTGGCCTGAGATTGCCTACCAAGAGGTGGCACTGTTTTCTAAATTGTACCAGGGCCACGCAGGAGCCAACAACTGTCCTGACAGGTGTTCCTGGTCAGCATAAGGGATTTAAGTGTCTGGTAAATGCTACCTTAGCATTATCCTGAGGCTTTGGGCTGATGTCAACCGTTACTTGGTGGCTTTGTGGAGTTCTCCAGAATCACCTCAGGAGGATGCCAGTATCCCAAGCCTTGCTATGACCTTTCAGACACAGATTAAAAAATAAAAATGAAATGTAAAAATATTGAAAATGTAAAAAGCTTAAAATCATGCACGGCAACACCATGTATTTCTTCAGGTATATGTATAGATATGGTTCAACTATAGAGAAGTGTGTGGGAATATTAAGACCATATTCGAAAAATGGTTACCCTTGGGGTGGGTAGGGAATGAGGTTAGGAAGGGATGTACAGTACAGAGGTCTTCAGCTCCATTCATAATTTATTTCTTGAGTTTAATGGTGGATACACAAGTGTGTATTCTTTAATCTTAATTATATAAAAATAATTCATAATCAGTACTAATGAAAGAGACCATCTTTCTGTGTAAGAGATAGTTCTTCATTTTTATCTTCCTTAGTCTCTGCGAAATATTAAATCCAAATATTGATTTGGAACCACAGACTCACGCATTCATTCAACAAGTATTTACCACTGAATGATAGAATGTTCAAAGAGCAAAGAACTTCCTCTGAACATTATAACACTGATAATAACCTTGGTTATTTGACTACTTCCCCTTCTTTCTATGAGGGGCTCTGTCTTATTCCTATATATGATTTCTGCTACATAATAAGTATTAATAAATGTTAAATTAAATTGAATAAAACATAAATATGACAGTTTTTATCCTTACAGAGCTTTCCATACACTAAGGGTGAGAAGAGATTTAGGATAATGCAGGTCATGATAAGTGCCCTAAGTCTGAGCAAAGTTCTGTGGGAATTCATTCATACATTTATTTACTTGACAACTATTTATTAGGCACCTACTAGGCCCTGGGCATGCAATCATCAACAAGAGAGACGCAGTCATCGGTTTTTACATCGCTCACTTCTTACCACCTTCATCACTACCTTACTGGTCCATGCCGGCAACATCTTTTACTTGGTTTATTAACAATAATAATAATAACCCAATGTCATAATCCTGACTAGTCTCCCTACTTCCACTGTGTTCCTCTACAGTAAAATCTCAACTGCATCCAGAAAGATCTCATTAAAACCCAAGTTAGAGCTCGTCTACTCCTCTGCTCTAAAACCTTCAATGCTCCTCACCTGCGGGGGATTTGCAGCAATGGCTACAGGTCCTTAAATCTCTTATCAAGAGGTGAAGTCTAGTTCTCAACCCCCTGAGTCTGGGCCAGCCTTGGGATTTTCTTTGTCCAGAAGAATGTGCCAATTCTGAGTCCAGGCCTTGGGAGGTTTTGAACCCCTCTGTGCTTACTCTTGGAATCCTGCAGCTGCTAGATAAACAAGCCTGTTGCGGGCGGGCGGCGGTCGCACGTGGTGCAGAACTGACCTAGGCAAGGCCATAGAATTATCAGCCAACCTACCGGCTGTCTGAGGACACAGACAAGAGCCCAGCCTAGCCCCAGCCTTTCTCAGAAGAACCTTCCAGATGATCCACAGACTCATGAGCTAAATAAATGGTTGTTTTAAGCCATTGAATTTTTTTTGTGTGTGGTTTGCTAGGCAGCAAAAGCAAACTGATTCACCATCTCATTCTGGGAAAAAGTCAAAGCACTAACTATATCTCCCATATGCAGAACATTGCCTGGTGCATGGTAGGTGCTCAATAAACATTTGTCGAATTAAATTCATAAATGGAGTTAGCAGTGTAATGAGGGAAACAGGGGGGAAAAAACTAAGTAAATAAACTAGTAAAATGACAAAATTTGTAAGTGCTATGAAGGACACAAATAGTGGCTGGGGTAGAGAACCACAGAGTGAAAGTGGGAAGGTGGTATTCCTGAGGCTCCCCATGTCTTTCAGGATAAAAGCCTTTATCATGGCCTCCAAGACCCTACCCCACCTGGCTCTGATACCTGCCAAGTCCATCTTCTGCTAGTCCTCTAACACACCAAACACACCTTAGGTCCTTGCCAGAATGCTCCCTCCCTTCCTTCCCTTCCTTCGAGTCGCTGCTCAGATGCCCCCCTTTCAGTAAGGTCTTCCTGACCACTCTGTAGAAACAGCAACCCACTGACCCCCAGAATTCCGTAACCTCCTTTCCCTTTTTCTCCACAGCACTTGTCAACAGCTGATGTATTATAATATTAACTTTTGTTTGCTGTCTGCCTCCTGCACTCGAATGTATCTTCCAGGAGGGAAGGAATTTTGTTTTGCTCAGTATACCCGTAGGACAATATTGCCTTCGGACAGAAATCCCGCCAGTGGATCCAAAATCCTTTAGGGGCCATGCTTCCTATCAATCCTAAGACTATCAACGCAAGCGTTCGGCTTCGAGTCATCCCGGGAATAAAGCAAGGGCTTTTTAAAAAGCCACATTGCCCAGGTGAGTGTTGCATTGCTTACTGAGGACTCTACGAATGTGCTCACACAAGACTAAACGCTACAAGTAACACCTGTCTTCAGAGCGTGTTTTACTGTCTGCTAGGGTCATTCTAATCCGTGCTATCATTCGCTTCTGGAAACAGCCCTGAGAGGCTGGCAGCGCAGATTTTATCACTCTCCATTTACAGATGGAGCTAGAGGGGCATTGAGCTCAGCTGAGCTACCCAAGGCTGCAGGCATTCTGGTAAAGTCAGAATGCAAATCCCAGTTGGTGTGACTCCAAGTACAGTGCTCATTTCACTATTTCCTACTGTTCCTCCAACCTGGGCTTGGACCCGGTGACTTTCTTGAATCATTAAGATCCGAAGCCAATCTTGAGCTCCTGGAAGACCCTCAACACAGGAGGCTTCTCCTCCCTAAAGACCGCGTGCCGCCGCCGAGGGGCGTGGGTGCTGAACAGGCATCTGGAACATCCACTGCAGAGCCTGCCGGTGGCTTTCAGATCTCCCCGGGCCTCTCCTGCGCGGTAGTCAGGCGAGGACGGCCTGCCACAGGGCAGGATGGGCAGCCGCTTTCGGGTAAAAACCAGAAAGAAATCCCAGCCTCGCGGCTTTATCTTGGTTTAAGAATCGGGTCGGCTGACAATGGAAACTCTTTCCCTGCTGCCCTCTCCTTTCGGCCGTGTTGACAGGAGACGGACTTGCTAATTCGGTCTGGGGATTTTCCCTGCCTGGGCTGTTTTTCTCTTTCATCTTCATCAATGGAAGAGAGCTGCTCTGCCTTTCAAACAGTCGGAAGGTATCTGGGGTTTTGTGTCTTTTTTTTCTTCCTTTCATATCATTCTGTGGGTCTTTTCCCAGATATGTATTTTCTCTCAGATTAACTTCTAACTTGTTTAAGTTTCCGCCCATGTGACTTCCAGTGTGAGTTACCAGAAACCACAAGAGAGAGAGCGCGCGCGCACGAGCCCCGAAGCGAGCGACATGTCCCTGTGGGGAGCAGTGCGTCTGCACCCCCGAGTGAGGAGGACGCAGGGGTCAGAGGCGGCCGCGGGGCGGGCAGAGCAGGGACCCGCGCGGGGGGCCGAGCTGGTGGCCCGGCAGCGGTCGGGAAGGGAGGCCGGCTGGTGACCAGAGAGCCCCGGGGCGCCTGGGGCCGTGTGGGGAGCCCGGAAGACTGCAGCCATGCCGCACAGCTCGGACAGCAGCGACTCCAGCTTCAGCCGCTCTCCTCCCCCGGGCAAACAGGTAGAAGCCCCCCCCCCCCCCCCTGCAGCCCACCTTCTCTTTCCCTGCGGAGGGGGGCAGTCGGAGGGCGACGGTGGCCTGCCCAGGGAGCCGAGGAGCCAGCAGGCGGCTGGCGGCCCGGGCAGCCCGACCCCCTTGCGACGACCGGGTGTTCGCAGCCTGTCGCGGACGGAGACCCCCCTCCCGCAGCCGCGCCGCTCGCCGCCGCGCCCCCTGCCTCTGCCTCCGCCTCCCGCCGGGCCCCGGCCGCACCAAGCTTTTCTCGGAAGCCAGGAGGAGAACGTGCGGCCGAGAGCCCTGGTCTCTCGGGGGCGAGGGTCCACCTTTCTCCGGGGCGGTGGGGACGCGAGAGGCACGGCGTTCCGGAGGCTGCGGGCCTGCCCGGCCCGTGCGGGTGGTTTCGCGGGGGGCAGCCATCAGGGCAAGCGAGGGAAGCTGCAGGGAAAAGCAAAGAAGGAAAGAAAAGAGCTAGCTAGAGGAGGAAGCCAGGCAAGCCCAGGAGAATCTCTCGCATCTACTGGGGCACTGGCCAGCAGAGAGGGATGCAGGAAGCTGCCACCAAAGCCTCTTTCCCCTGTGGCTTCGGGGCTGGAGACACTCCCAGCTCAGCTCTGGGGAAACCAGAGCGACTGAGGTAGAGAGTGTGGGAGCGTTTGGAATCGAGATTGTGACTTCCAAGTCAGAAGTTTTCAGCTTGAGGCCTGCCCCCAAAACGGGACACCCTGCCTGCCCCCAAAGCTTCTGGAGCTTTCTCTTCACCGCATTCCTTGACATCCCTCTCCGGAGAAAGGCTTCTTCATTCTCACCAGATACATCAAGGGATTAACATTGCTTCTCCAACTTTGTGGTTTAAAAACCACATTCTTTCCTTAGCACAGATATCCAAGAGGGCTTGCAAGATGCTGCAGCCGAAATAAACGTATATAAACAGATAATACAGCATCTGTCATGAACGTCGAGCAGAAGGGCAGCAGGTTGGGAGGAGTCGTAGTGGAGACCTCTAGTGGGCAAACAGTCCAGTCCTCTGCTCCAGATGGCATCACGGTGGCTCACGCTGCCTGGAAGTCTGTACTCTTCTTAGGAAGGAAATTACTCATGGATTCCATGGTAACCTGGTTCCCCATGCCCCTTAGAGAAAAGCACTTCCTTCCCATCTAACCCCATGCCCTCCTACCGCAATGGCCTGGAAGCCTTGGGCACACTGGTGAGACTTAGGCTGGCTGAGCACAGAATCTTGCCCCAGGAACAGTGCCCCTGGATCCTGTGTGGGCGTGAGAGGGACCAGGGCAGGGCTTGACTCAGACTCCTATACTTACCCTCAGTATCTGGGGGGAGAGCTGGAGCTAACCTCTCTGCCCAAGTAGAGGACGTGTCCATCTGTGGAATATACTTAGAGGACGCCCAGAGGTCCTCTTGTCCTAAGCACCCATCCACTACCTGCCGCAGCCAGGTAATCTCTGCCATTAAAGCTGTTCTTGGCCTCTAGTTTGTATTAGGCATTGTGCTCAGGGCCACGGGGAATGTCAAGGTCACTGAGCATAATGAAGGGAATGCAGGAGAAGAAGAGCCAGATCTGGGACGGGGACCTCAGCCCAGGGATGTGGCAGAAGACACATGGGTACAAACCAGTGAGGGGCGGGAAGTGGCTTGGAAAGGCATCAGACTTAGCCTCAGAAAATGGAAGGCCCTGGCTTACTGTAGGCTCCTGGGCAAGCCTTTTGAGCCTCGGTCTCCTCACATATAAGATAGAAACAATAATATTAACTGCACAGAATTGAGGAGTTAAACAAGAGCACCTCTGAAAAAGCATTTGCATGGAAGTTGGCACATAGTAGGTGCTCAGCGAAGTTTGGGGGGGGGGGGAATAGCAAGAAAATTCTAGGCCAAAAAGTGAGAGAGTAAGGGTGGAGCAGCCCTGAAGAGAGGAGAGGTGATAAAACACACTTCATCGCCTTAACCATTTTTTTTTTTTTTTCAAATACAGCCCTATCAAGGCCCCAGGGTCTTTTTCCTCTTCCTGTAGCTTTGGCCAAAATAGCTATAGGGACCTAAGAGAGTGTAACAGTGTGGGGAAGAGTCCTCTTTTGGGCTCAGCCTTTTGGTAAGTGGGGGGTGAAGGGGCAAATGAAAAGACGTGAAGAAATGCAAGGATGGGCAGCCGGATACCAAACAGCAGGAGAACCTGCTTTCACTCAGAAGAGAGGAGCCTACTCACCTGATTCCCCTCACCTCTGCTTCCCAGGACCCATCCGATGATGTGAGAAAAGTTCAGAGAAGGGAGAAAAACCGCATTGCTGCCCAGAAGAGCCGACAGAGGCAGACACAGAAGGCTGACACCTTGCACTTGGTGAGCGTTCAGACCTTTCTTTATCCTCTTGAGCCTGAGGCTTTGCTCCTCACCACCCATGGATGCTTGGAGCGCAGCTTTGAGTCTGCCTGCATGGGGCTGTCGGGGGTGGGGGGTGGGTGGTAAGCAGAGGGGTCGGGCTACGGGGTGCAGTGCGGAGGAGAGGCTCTCCTCTGGGTGTATTGAGAAGATTTAGTAGCAAGGAATGAGCCAGGGAGCTGAAAAAGAAAGGAGCCCTTCTTCCTGAGCCCCTGAGAGGGCATGAGGTGTAAATGAGTTGATCGTACCAAGGAGGGAGGCTAGGTGGAAGCAGAACCACCTAATCAGAGATGGGGTAGCCAGAGAGAGCTCTATCCCTCTCGAGCCTGGAGAGCAGAAGGCAGGCTTGTCTTTGGGAAGAATTTAGAAGGTGTTAAGCACTTTGGGGGAGCCCAGGATCCCGGTGTTAGGATCGCCTATGGTCCCACCCCCTAGGAGGCCAGTTGGCAGCCACCCTGGTCCCTACATTTGGGACAAGGAGGTCCATAGGGTGCTGCATGTTACTCCTCTTTCCAAAACATCATTAAGGTTTTATTTTGAAATATCTTTCATGATACCCCAAGGGGTCTGTGAAAGATGCAGTTTCAAGTGCACTTATCTGGGGTGGTCCCTATTCTGGTTGAGTTGCCTCCAGTCTCAAACTTTCTAGAGAAGGCCTTGACCCCTGGCTTGAGTGGGAGCCTTGGGTAATGCTGAACTGCAAGTCCACTGGAGGACCAAGGCCCTGCTCAATGTTTCTGAATTCTGGCTGCATGCTTCACAGAGCGGTGCTTCCTCCTCGTCTTCCATACCTTACCACCTTAGCCCTCTTCATTCCGCGCCTTCATTTGGTCCTCGGTCAACCAACTCTTACTTCACTGGCTCCATCCTCTTCCATCTCCTCACCCCTTCCTCTAGCAACCCCGCCTTCCTGTCCTTCCTCCTGAACCATTCCTGAACCTCTCACAGCCTAGTCCTTCACTTCAATGGTAAAGGGCAATTGGTACCCAAAATAAGTATGTTTGTGTTTATTTGAAAGATTACCATGGCAATCAGCCAGTTAGAATAGTTGTTTTAATTTTATCAAGAAAGAGTAAGATGTAGTTTTAGGGGGAAAAAGAGATGCTTCTTTTAGCTTTGTAAGGAAGCAGAGAATGGTCTGCACCAACATCTCTGACTGGATGCTTGTGTTTTATTAGAACGTATTCAGCATATCTTCCATTGCATTCCAACATAGTTTTCAGTCCATAAATATTTGTTGAACTGAAAAAAGAATGAATGAACACCAAATTCTTTCTTCTTTTTGATAATTATGATCAGCTGCCTAAATGTGAAGTTGTCGGTGACGCTGCAACTTACATGTTCTCTGTGATGTCAATATGATTTAGGGTCTTAACACACTCCCTCCCGTTTACTATTTGAAGCTTGAAAATCTATGATCACTCACTCATCTCTATCAGAGTCTGATTCTCATTCAATATTCTTTAGAGCAAACAGACAAATAAATAAAAATTGGAAAGGATAAAACCTCCCTTTTTGTGTAAGTGGACAAATGTCCCGAGACTGTAAATCTATGAGATTTTTAAGTTTGTACTATTAAAAAAAATGGTAAAAATTAAGGGTAGCTCAGCAGCTCTACAGTCAGAAGTACAGGGTTTGATTCCTAGCTCCGCCACTTGCTATCTGTGTGACAGATCTTAGAGACATTCGACCTCCCTTAAAGTCTAGTTTCCCTATCTATAGATTGGGAAATGACAGTAACTACCTCATAGAGATAGTGCATATAAAAAGCTCCACACAGTGCCTGCCATATAATACTCAAAAAATTTAAGTATAGGGGTGCCTGGGTGGCTCAGTCGTTAAGCGTCTGCCTTCGGCTCAGGTCATGATCCCAGGGTCCTGGGATGGAGCCCAGCATCGGGCTCCCTGCTCAGCAGGAAGCCTGCTTCTCCCTCTGCCTGCCACTCCCCCTGCTTGTGTTCCCTCTCCCGTTGTCTCTCTGTCAAATAAATAAATAAAATCTTCAAAAAAAATTTAAGTATAATAAGAGTAATTTTAATAATAGTGGTTATTATAGAAGCAAGATAAATCACAACTGGGGCACCTGGGTGGCTCAGTCCATTAAGCATCAGACTCTCAATTTCAGCTCAAGTCAGCCCTCCCTCTGCTTGTGTGTGTGCACCCTCTCTCTTTCTCTCAAAATAAATAAATAAATCTTTTTTAAAAAATTACAACTAAAATTATATATATATATATCAAAATCTCAGGGCTGAGAGATTTTTTAAAGGCTGGAAAGTTCAGACACACTTTCGATGCTTGAGATTCCTCTACACACTCTCCCCGCAACCTCCACCAATGAAATGGTCCCCAGTGTATGCCTGCTCACTTCTAATGACAGAGAGCTCTTTTCCTCCTGATATGAGCAGAGGAATCATCCCTATCTTGAGCTATACCACTATTTCCCTGTAAATTCAACCCACTGGTCTTTGTTCAAGCCCAGGGGGACATATAAATGAGGGGAACATGTATGTTTCTTTGCTGTGGCCAGCTTTTCAATGGATTCAGCTGTCTCTCTCTCTCTGTAAGACGAGAGTTAGAACCAGAAGATTTGGCCCATCTTGATTATTCTAGTCATGACTAGATTGAGATGATCTCTGGGGCTTGGAGAGCATGGAGCCTCCAGTCATGCAGTCACCACGTCCACAGCCACACCTCCAGCCTCAGGCTCTAGAATGTTCCCATCTTCCCCACACCTGGACACAAACTCCTCCCCACTCTTTTCTTTCGAGCACCACAGCATTCATTTTCACTTTTTGTCCGGTGAGTAGGTCACACTGGTTGACACAGCTAGCCTGGGGGTTGCAGCCAATGCAACTCGTTTCTTGACTTCGGGTAAAAGCTTTTGGCAGCAACATACAAATCTGCCACCATCAAACAGAGGGTTTGGCTGTGGTCTGAAATGTTCGTTTCCTCTCAGACGTAATCAACCATCTTCTCCATCCATTATCCTCTTAATTATGTTTGTGATTCGTAGAAAATCTTCTGGTTTACCACTAGCATGCTTAGGGTTGAGTGCTTGGTTTACCCTTGACTCCATGCTTGGCCCTGCAGGTTGAGGTTCTGGAACCATTCTCTGGCCCTTGGAAATAGCCATAGGACCCATCCACCAATATTTTAAAGACCAACTACTGTATCAAATAAGGACCATGTTTGTATTACTGTGCTAGCTTCATATGCTAGGGTAATGTTGTTTTCTCGGTTTCAGCTTTGCCACTATTCTCTCTCTCAAAATAACAAAAGCATTACTTCATCTCTCCAGTGAGAGTGTGGGCTACTTACTATTTAACATTTTCAGTATCTCCTATAAATGGTTTACAACAAAACACTGTACACGGATTGCTTTTAAAAAGCAGAGTAGGGAAGGAGCCGCTTTCCACAACTGTCTAATCTTATGCCAACTTTATAACAGCCTTGGTATTGACTAGCCCTCACATAAACTGGATCAGGTGCTGCTCTTCATAATTGTGATAGCCACAGAGTCCACATTCTGTTTTAATTCTCTTTTGTTGGGCGTTTCACACAAGCCCCTACTGCACTTCTTTCCTTTCCTCCCACAGATAACTATAAAATCTTTCAGGCACACTAAATGCACTGATTAAAAAGGAGACAGGCATATAATTTTTTATTAAAATTTTATTTTTTTAAGTTTTTATTTAAATTCCAGTTAACATACTGGACCATTTTATCTCCAAAAGACATCAGCAGCTGATAAGTGGATCCAAGATAATCAGCTGAAAAACTATTAAAAATAATAAGGGAACCCTGTCAGCTATCGAAGTTAACACAAAAAGTAATAACTTTCCTATATGTAAACCATAACCAATTAGAAAATTTAATGGGAGGAAAGATTCCTTTTGTAATACCAACACTGGCAAGTGGAATACATTTAACAAAAAATATGCAGGGCTTAATTTTTAAAAACTTTAAAATTATTCTAAGTGCTTTCAAAAACACTCAAATAAGTGGAAAGATATACCTTATGTAAAAATAATAAAAATTTTCCATAATCTATAAATTTAACTTAATGTAACCCCAATAAAAACCCAATACAACTTTCAGGAAGTTAGGGGAGACTTAGATTAGTTATTCTAAGTTCTTAGTGAAGAACAACCATGTAACAATTTCCAGGAAAATTTTAGAGAAGGGTAACTAAGAAGATTAGCTGAACAAGATATATTAAAGTGAATTATAAGTATTGAAATCAAAACAATATGGAAAAGACAGAGCATTTGGCAGAACAGAATACAGAAAGAGACTCCAAAGCAAACTGAAATTTAAGACCCAAGTACACATGTCAGTTCCTAAGAACAAGACACAAGAACACATGCAAAATGATGATGATGGCATTTCAAACCAGTGAAGGAAAGCTAAATTATTCAATAAATGGAATTGGGACAACTGGCTAGCCATTTTGGGAGGAAGAAACTAAAGTCTTTATTTCTCATATAGCATGCACACAGATTAAATGTAAAAAACACTAAAGAAATTTGGGGGGGAAAATAAGCACTGAAAAATTATTTTGGAATGAAGACTTTCCCAGATAAAGTACAAAACCCTGAAACCATAAAGGAAAAAAACTGACATATATTACCTTTATACATAAAAAGTGAAAATTTCTATATATCTCAAAATACTATATGCAAAGTCAAAGGCAAATGACAGATTGGGGAAAATATCTGTGACACATATGACCAAAAAAGGGCATATTTACTTTATATATGAAAGCTCTTATGAATGAGAAAATGATTAACAACCCAAAAGAAAAACTAGCAGTGATTATGAATGGGCAATTTACAGAAAGAGAGAAATAAATAGTAAATAAATATGGAAAAGTTTCTAGACCTCACTTAGGGAAATGACAATTAAAGCAACAGTGAGCTTCCCTGCCAGACTGGCAAAGACAAAAAATGTTGCTAATATGT